TTTTTTGGGTCTTGTTGTGGGGCCTGAACTCTGGGCCTGGGCGCTGTCCCTCAGCTCTTCAGCTCAAGGCTAGCACTCTACCACTTGAGCCATAGCGCCACTTCTGGCTTTTTTCTTTTTGCTTTATGTGGTGCTGAGGAATCAAACCCAGGGCCTCAGGCATGCAAGGCAAGCACTCTACCGCTGAGCCACCTTCCCAGCCCCTCAATAAACTTTCTTTTCAAGTTTAACATATATATTGAGCACCGATCACAGGTGCAGCTCAAGTGTCTGTTCACAGCAGATCTCTCCCCATCAGCTTCCCGCAGTCCCGCCCAGGTATAATCTCCCCAAGGTAACCACCATCTCCATAGCTGTCACTCTACATTTGTGTTGCCTGTGATAGTCTGTAACTGGGATTACATGTGGACAGGCTTCTCCCTCTCCCCATGGAGGTCCTGCGGGCAGGGCCTTGTCTGGCAGCTGTCCTTGGAGCAGCCTTGCGTTTGGTCCTTGCAGCATTTGCTCGTGCCTGTCACACCTGTGCAGTCAGCCTGCCAGAAACCTTCCCAACCTTCCCTCAGCCTTCTGCTATCTCCCTCTAGGTGACCGGGTTGCATACTGCAAGGCAGCCAATAAGCGGGTCATGGATGTGATCCATTCAGCCCGGACCCGTCAGCAGATGCTGCATGCTCAGACCTTCCATGGTGACTCTCTGCTGACCCAGGAGGAGGCCGCAGCTGCCGGGGATCGGAGGCCAGCGCCTGACACCTGGATTTACCCATTGATCCAGATGAAGCCCTTTGAGATCCAGATCGATGAGATCGTCACCGAGACCCTGTTGACTGAAGCCGAGCGAGGCTCCAGGGTCTTCCTCACCACCGGCTACTTCAATCTGACCCAGGCCTACATGGACCTGGTCTTGGGCACACGGGCTGAATACCAGATTCTGCTGGCCTCCCCAGAGGTGAATGGCTTCTTTGGGGCCAAGGGCGTAGCTGGTGCCATCCCAGCGGCCTACGTGCACATTGAGCGGCAGTTCTACAGCGAGGTGTGCGGCCTGGGGCAGCAGGAGCGGGTCCAGCTGCAGGAGTACTGGCGCAGGGGCTGGACATTTCATGCCAAAGGTATGAGGCAGCTGGCCAGAGGACTGCCCCAGCACGGCCACAGCTCCCAGGGCCCACACTCCTGGCTTCCTTGCGGGGCGTGTGTGTGATTGTGCACTCGAGCACACGTGCCTCCCACACCTGGCGTCCTTGCGGGGCGTGTGTGTGATTGTGCACTCGAGCACACGTGCCTCCCACACCTGGCGTCCTTGCAGGGCGTGTGTGTGATTGTGCACTCGAGCACACGTGCCTCCCACTCCTGGCGTCCTTGCAGGGCGTGTGGGTGATTGTGCACTCGAGCACACGTGCCTCCCACACCTGTGGAGCCCTTTGGTTTTCGCTAGGACATGGCCCTAGGACCTCATGTATAGGCAGCGGTGAGAGCTCTTTGTTCAGTGGATTTAGCTGTGTAAAGTCTTTCTTATGCACCAGAAACTTACAAACTAAAATGGTTTGGGTGGCTTCTCAAAAAATGTGCTTCTGCCTTGGCACTGGTGGCTCATGCCTCAGTCCTACCTCCTCAGGAGGCCAAGATCTGAGGATCACTGTTTGAGGCTACATCCGGCAGAAAATTCCATGAGACTTACCTCCAGTTAACCACAAAAAGCCAGAAAAGTGGAGCTGTGTCTCAAGTGGTAAGAGTGTTAACTCGAGTGAAAGAGTTCAGGGACAGCACCTAAGATCCTAAGTTGAAGCCCCAGGATACCTGGGACACACCCATATACACACAGACAGACAGACAGACGCACACACACAATATATGAGTTATAAAATCATAGTTACTTGGGATTACGATATATATATCATGTATAGCAATATTTTACATATACATGAGATTTGCATGCATATGTTATATACTTAGAACTATGTATACACATATACATGTGTATATATATTATGGTTATAAACACATATATAATTATTGCTCAGTCCTTAATAGAAGTCCTGTATGCTTTTTCCTGGTGTGATACTGGGGATGGAGTCCAGAGCCTTCTAATACTAAGCTACACTCCCTAGCCAAGACGAGGCACATTCTCAGACACCGCTTTTGAGACGTGGATGAAGTGCACTTGAAGCCTTGTGCTGAGTACTGGCCTGCCTTACGGCTCTTGGCTGTGCATGCTCACCTCTGGCGCTGTGAGCACACAGACCGTGCTCAGAGCCTGCCAGACACTGCAACTGCATCCCAACAGGCCAGCAGCCTCTGGGAGAGGTGTGAAGCTGTGCAGTCTGCGGCTCCTCTGGATTCTCTAAGGGTAGTCCCAAGGCCTGTTGTGCTAGCTGCCACGGACCACATGTCTGTGTTGCTGGGAGTCAGGGCGTCTTGAATTGTCAGGAGGAACTCTTATCCCCCACCATCCCTGCTCCAAACCTGTGTCCAGTGGGACTATACTAGACCCAGGCCACTCTGGAGCCAGCTCTAGCTTTTTGTGTGAACGTAACCTGGCACTTCAATGACTTATGTGCTGGGGATGAGACCCTTGGCTTTGTCCATGCTACTAGGGAAGTGCTGTGACACTGCCCTGCTACATTCCAGACCCATCCTGTTTTGTGTGTTTTTTTCTTTTTTTAAATTGGTTGTGGGGCTTGGAACTTGGTTTGGGTGCTGTCCTTGCTCTTTTGCTCAAGGTTAGCACTCTACCATTCTGAGCCACAGCCACTTCTGTTTTTGAGTGGTTCATTGGAGATAAGAGTCTCACAGGGACTTCTCTGCCTGGGCTGGCTTTGAACCACTATCCTCTGATTGTAGCCTCCTGAGCAGTTGGGGTTATAGCGGTGAGCCACCCTTGTATGGCCCTGTTCATATTTTTAAAGACAGAGTTTCAGGCTACACTCTGGTGGCTCACACCTATAATCCTAGTATTCAGATGGTTGAGATCTTAGGTTTGTGGTTCTAAAGCCAGCCTGGGCAGTCAAATTGAGAGATTATTTTCAGTTAGCAACAAAAAAAACCCAGAAGTGCCTCAAGTGGTAGAGTACCAGCCTTGAGTCTAAGATCCAGTAGTGGGGTGAGGGGTACGGGCAGGCTTTCACTGTGTAGCCAGGCTGGCCTAGAATTTGCTCTAGCACAGAATGGCCACAGATTTGCCATCATCCAGCTGAAGTTTCCTGAGCACTGGGATTAGAAGCATTCTGTATTTTGCCTAGATAATCTGGTATTTAAAAAATGTGGAAATGGTATCTTGTACCTGTAATCCCAGCTCCTTAGTAGGCAGAGATAGGAAGATCATGGTTGGAGGCCAACACAGGCCAAGAGTTAGTGAAGCGTTTATCTTCTAGACCAAACTGGCCATTGTGGTATGTGTCTGTAATCCTAGCTATGTGGGAAGTGTAGGTAGCAGGATCACGGTCTGAGACTTAACTGGGCTAGAGTGAGTACTACTAAAAGGAAGTGGGCCCGTGAGCTGGTGGCCACGCCTTGTCATCCTAGCTACTCAGGACGCTGAGATCTGAGGATTGCAGTTCACATCCAGCCCGGGCAGGAAAGCCCATGAGACTCTCATCTACAGTCATTAGAAAACCGGAATCGGCACTGTGGCTCAAAGTGGTAGAGTGCTAACCTTGAGCAAAAAGAGCTCAGGGACAGCACCCAGGCCCTGAGTTCAAGCCCTATAGCCGACCAAACAAAAAAAGAAAAAAGCAGATGGATTGGAAGTATGGCTCAAATGGTAGAGCATCTGCCTGATGCCTCCTCTTAAGAGCTGCAGTTTCATCTTGGGATGATGCAGCTGCTTCTGGCCCATCTGGCAGGCTCCACGTGCGTGTGACTCCGGACCGGCGGCCTTGTGGTGTGGAAGGCTACTGCCTCTCACTGCGGGGCTCATCTAAGCTGTCATGGGCTGAAGCAGATATGTGGTCAGGTGTGTGAGGGCAGTAGGTTGGGCTGGGGTGTGTGCATAGTATTTCCAGGCTGGCCCTGTCACTTCTGGGAATGGTAGCAGTGCCTGGGTGGGGTAGAGCAGGAAGAGCTGAGCAGCAGAGAGAAACTTTGAGCTTTGGAGAGGCAACACAGACCCTGAGCAAGCGGCACGCCGGGTGGCTGGCCAGTTCTTCCTGGGGCCCTCCTGCAGGTGGGGCAGCCCCAGACCTGCCCAGCAGGTCTCGCTCTGAAGCTCTGCCCATAAAGGTGTGGTGACTCCCCACCATGTGGCCTTCTGCAGTGCACCTGGCCTCTTCTAGCTGTGTGGTTCTTGTTGCTCGCTGCCTCCCACCTGCCTTGGCTTGGCCTGGAGAAAGGGTGGGTCCTGCCACCTGGCAGCACTGGGCCAATGGGTGGGGGTCAGGAGGGGGACACACCGAGAATCTGTAGCTGGGTCCCAGAGTGCCTGTGAATTTGTGTGGGAGAGGGAACGCGAAGGCAGGGGCGTTTGCAGCTAGTTGGATGCTGGGTGCGATTCTTGCCTCAAGTCAGGAATCAGAGGTGCTCTGTTGAGCTAAGAGGCCAGGGCCTTCCCTGCTTGGTGGCTGCAATCCACAGTGGGGTCTTAAGTTATGATCTCTTGTGGCTGAGCCTGCATAGGGGAGGAACAGGCCAGCAGCTGATATAGTAGTTGGGATTGGGAGGGTTGATGGAACGGACTACTTCCTGCCAGACCCATGCAAGATGCAAGCTGTGGGCCTAGTGGGGCCCCAGAAAAGTCCCATAATGGCTGTGCAGCCAGCACCCTGATGCCCTTTCCCACACTCTTGCAGGACAGGTTGTGGCTGATCGTGGGTCCCCTGCTCCTGAAGCCCCCGGGCAGAGGAGAGTGAGCCAGGACACTGCTTCAAATTTCCAAAATCCTAACAGCATCCCATCTCGCCAGGGTGCTGACAGCAAGAGTCTTGGAAGATTATGAGTTGAGCTTCTGGGTGGCCCTGGGAGGGTGGCTTTGGTTTGGTCCCTGCCCTCGGAAAGCCCACATGCAAGGTGGGAGATAGCATCACCAAACAGGTGATAGCTGCTGGCAGTAAATTCAAATGCTGCAGTCTAGTATTATCTGTCAAACATTGCTGGGCAAAATAGGAGAATCAAACATTCTAGGCCACCTTGAGACCCTGGTCAGAAAACAAAACCAAGCCTACCCCGTTGCTGGCGTTGCGTAGCGAGCAGTTGCTGGAAAGACTCTGTGTGACTCTACTTGCTGGGCAGTGTTTATTCTGCCCAGCAGCCTGAGTCGAGGGAGGCATTACCTCACTCGTATTCTTTGCTGGTTTCCTAATAGACATCAATTTGCATAGTAGATTTTAATAGATTGGGCTGTTTGAAAAACCAGAGTTGGCTTCCGCTATTTGAAGGGATGCTCTGGAGACTAATTTTGCAATGTGGGTTATATGCTTAGTTTTTGAGACTTTTGCAAAGACTGCCTTCTCTGTGAGCGTGATGTGGTGTAGAGGTTACCAGACACGGGATCTAGATAGTACCAGTTCAGATTTACCTGGGATGTGGCAGGGACCTGGTTCAGCTCCCTTCCTGTAGATGCGGGCAGGGCAGTGTCTTGTCTAGAGAAAGTGGCAGCGGGTGGCCTGGTGTTTTAAAATGGGCAGCAGTGCCTAGCGGAAGCCCCTTGGAGGATCAGCTCTGTGAACAGGTGGTAGAGAGTCTTGGACCCCTTGGTTCACTGTCTGTCTTGTTAACCTGGGCACATGCTTCTTGACTTACAGTGTTCTGATGAACCCACTGTAAGTTGAAGAAGAAGGGGTATGTTGCAAATGGGTTTCATCCAACCTCCTGACCATCCTAGCTTAGCTACACAATGTATAGTGTGCTGGTGGTTGTCCGCTTCCTCACAGAGCTGCCTCACTGTACTGTGTGGCATTGCGTGAGGGTTCGACTCGACATTGCTAGCCAGGAAGAGATCCGAATTCAAAACTTGAAGTATGAGCCGGGCGCTGGTGGCTCACACCTGTAATCCTAGCTACTCAGGAGGCTGAGATCTGAGGATCGCGGTTCAAAGCCAGCCCGGGCAGGAGAGACTGTGAGACTCCTATCTCCAATAAACCACCAGAAAACCGGAAGTGGCGCTGTAGCTCAAGTG